CCCCCCCCCCCCCCCACACACAAAAAGGCACTAAGTAAGTCCGCCACGCAGGCTACCGTTGCCAAGGAGTTTCGCTAGCGGCCGGCCGGGTTTGGCCTCACGACAGGCCGAGTATCTCGAAACTGAGGGGTTGTCATGAGGGCCCTACAGGGTTATCATGCGTGTCCTCCAGGGTTACTGTACGGACATCAGGATACTTTAAGGGTTCTCGTGCTGGTTCGATTTGAAGGTTTAGGGCTTCGGGACTGTAAGATTCAGGATTTACAAAAGTTTAGGGTGCAGTGTGCCAGGTAGGGGTCCCAAACTTCAACGATGCAAGGCTCCACTAGGCTGCAACCGCCAAGCCTTTCCAGCCTTCAGCCTATCTAGAATTTTGTCCAATGGCGGTTTCATCACAAAGCCTCGTGCGACCGATATACGGCAATATGCCCGACAGCACAAACCACCAAAGCCGAGAACCTCAAGTTTAAGGTTTAGAGCACGCCCCCTGCCCGGCCTTGCGGATGGTTTCATGGCTGGCTGCGTCTTCAGCTAGCAGCGCGAGCACTCCTCACAGAATAGCTCTAAATGCCGAAAGGTTGGTTTAATGTTTGGGGGTTCGGGCGGGGATTGCATATGGCTGCTATAGCTTCCTTGAAAGCCGCAGAAAGACTTTGGCACTCTCCTCATCTGCAACACCTTAAGCAGCCATAGCAGCAGAAACCCACGCGGTTCATGAGCATGCAGCTCTTGCACAGCTCAGCTCGGAAGTGGTCTTTAAGACAAAGAACACCGAACTCTATTAGCATCAGGCCTCTACAGACCTCTACTGTTCAAGTCTTGCATACCCGTAAGACACCACGAAATCCCATGTACCCGAACTTCCTAATGTTAGCAGGTAACAGCACAAGTCTGGCACGTGGGTTTAGGGTTTAATAGGGCCTGGGCCGTCGACACATCCTATCAAGCTGCTGGGTTGCAAATCTCCGTGTTTGGGACAAAGATCAGATGGTTGAGGGTATGAGTCTGAGTCATCAGTCAGATCCTCAACTCGTCAACCAAGAAGATCCCCTAAACCCAACCATGACCCCTAACTTAGAGAGCCAGATCCTACCCCCTGAATCCCACGCCCCCAACACCACCCGACACCCATAATCAAGCCCCACACCCCCCAAACCCCAAAAGCCTATAACACCAAAACTAGAACCGAAGACCCTGCCAAGTCCTGCAGCAAAATCCTTCGTGACCATGCTCCCCCCGATGAGCAGAATGACAAGAGGAAGAACGGCACCGGCCTATTGAGGGGTTCATTTAAGGGCATATAGGGGCTTGTAGGGTCTAGGGCTGGTAGGCGTTTAGGGGTTTAGGGTGTAGGGTGGAAGGCTTCGGGCTTCAGGGTTTTGTGGTTCAGGGTTTAGGGTCTAAGGGTCTGTGGTTCCCCTGTTTTTTCGGTGCTTTTCCGTCGTGAGGATGAGGGTTTGGGGAACATCTCTCGTGGCAGTGTTCACCCTGGCGCTTAGCACCCCTACTTAAAGTTAACTTTTCGGTCCAGGTGCCGATACAGGGGATAGAAAGAAGGACACCTCAAAAAAAGATAAGGGTCCGGCATTGGTCCTTGACGGACGACCCCCTGTAAGACTGTAAGAAACACCATCCCTTCAAGAAACGCTCTAGAGATCTCCAACATCGAAGACGCACAAGGCAGCAGACCTCGACGATGTTTGCTCGAGCCGCCCGGCGGCTGGCAAGCTGCTCTAAGACAGCAGCGGCAAGCTCCTGTGCGTTGGGGTTTTGCGTGTAAGGGCCTGAAAGAGCTGTGGACGAAAGGACCATAGTAGAATGGGAGCCGCAGCCGCAACAGGCTAAAACCCTGAGTGTAGCTCAAGCCCCCAGTCCGAACCCTCCTCAACACAAGGCCCTAAACCAACTCAAAACCCCAAATCCCACAACGTAAGCCCTAAACCCTATACCCACCACGTACTCCTGGCTGGAGGGTGACGTTCTGGTGCTTAAGAGCGCAACGAGGGGCCGGACGGCTCCGGCTTTGGTCATTGCCGCCTGCTGTGGGTGCAGGGTTAGGGTTTGTGGTTTAGGGTCTAGGGTTTAGGGGTTTAGGGTTTAGGGGTTAGGTTTTAGGGGTTTAGG